GTTGTGTGAATAGAGAACTTCAATCCCCAAAAACATTCAAGGACTTTCAAGGACAAGTGTAATTTTTGGCTATTTTCACAAACTTTCCAGGGCCTTGAAATATATATTTTTTTAAATTTACAAACTCACAAGGATTTCAAGGACCCATGGGAACCCTGAACAAATGAATCAACGTAGTATCATAATTATTACGTTTGGTCATTTTATTATTATGCTCTTGTCTAACGAAGTTTGCATACGGGATCACAAGTTTCTGCAACTGTTACAAGCTAAAAGGTTTGAAAACCACAAACTAAAAAATAAGCCCCCTCACTCATTACTTGCTGGGGGGTTCAGATTTTTTTTTTTTTTTTGGGTTTCTGAAATCAAAGCGTGTCTTGAGACTTTTGACTCACTCTGTACGTCCAACAATTACTTTGAGAGCTTTGTTAAAGCACTGTTTGTGGATCTTGGGATTTTTTGTTAACAGACAGACAGACGGGCAATTACAGTGGTACCTTGACTTAATTGTGTTCTAACTAACAAGCAGTCTCTMAGATWTATTTTTGCTTTGAGTTGAGAGCTAAAATTTGGGTTACGAGCGAACTTCACACATCCCACCGCTAGATGGCGCCATGAACGCAGGAGTGAACACCGCAAAATGTGTTCACTGTCTCAGTTAGCTTTAAGCAGTTAGCTCGCGGTTAAAGCATTTGTGTTCCACTCGCAGTTATTTTTTATAAAATTTCACGAACCAGCTTTTGCCAACTATGGGACCAAAAAAGGTGAGAGCAAAGGATGGCGCTGAGAAAAAGAAGCAGATGATGTGCATTGAACTGAAGAAAGAAATTAGTGAAAAACACGAGAAAGGTGTGCGTGTAGTCGACTTAGCAAAGCAGTACGAGTGCAGCACTTCTACAGTCTGCACCATATTGAAGCTGTACCTTTTACAGTGTACTTAATAAAACTACTGTAGTTCACTGCAGAAAATACATTCTGTTTTGTATTTTTATTAATTTTTTTGTTATTCATAATGATTTTACAGATATAAAAACATGTAACAAAAAATAGCAGTGTTTTTTTGGGGGTCCGGAACAGATTAAGGGCATTTCAATTTATTTCTATGGGGAACACTGATTTGACATAAAAGTAATTTGAGTTAAGAGCTACATGTCAGAATGAATTAAACTTGTAACTCAAGGCACCACTGTACGGAAGAGGATTAGGGCCAATGAAAAAATAAAAAAGTAATTCTGACTTTTTTTCTCAAATTGTGAGAAAAAAAGTCAGAATTCTAACTGTTATGGCAATATTTATTTAACAAAGACAGAAATACGTGGTCCAAGAATGAAGGTACTCCGTGAGATGATCAGCTGAGTTTTATTGCAACAACAGGAAACACAGAGAACAACCTGCCCTGTCTCTGTGCCTCTGCTTCTCTCTGTCACTCCACTCCACACCACTCACTGTGTCTCCAGAGGCCTCATATATATATTAACAAACACCATTATGTCATCTTAGCAAGATTTGATACAAGGTCAATGGAAAACACAARDATAAACACAAGTGATATCTAAGAATGACTGTTGTTAGCAAATCTTGTTCTGACTTTAATCATTCTGTCTGCAGATGAACGGCATGTCATGAAAGCCTAGGTCATTAAAGGATGTCATGAATTACTTGCTTAAACATAAAAGTATTAGTTCCATTWCATCTCCCCCATCTGATCATTAAATCACCAATTAAATGATCAATAAAACAAAAAAAAACTCTAATGTATTTAAAAAAACATGTCAACATAAACCTAAGTATATGTACTTTTCTGAAATCCCAACCACAGTAATTCAATTTTAATCTCAGAATTGTGAGAAAAAAGTCAGAATTCCTTTATTTATTTTTTCAGTGGCCCTGATCCTCTTCCATACCACTGTGCATGATTGGCTTGCCTTTTATAACGGCAGGCGATAAAAGAAAAATTGCTCAGGGTACTTATTTAGCACAGCACATGAAGAACTCCTCTAAAGTGCCAATCAAAGGGAGAGCAAAAAAAAAGTTCAGCTCGCTCCGGCTTTAAACAAAGAATTTTACTGATAAACATTTCGTCCCTCAGGCTGATCTCAACATGAGTAATAACTTWTCTTAAAATTTAAAGCTTTAATCTCCCTACAGAAACGGATTTCTTCRTAACAAAAAAGAAGTTCTGTTGTAGTTATTTTGGCTTCTCTGTTTCCTCGACTGGCAGGTGTTTGGATTTATACTGAAAGCAAAAATCAAAACAGGAAACTGTCACTAAGCAGCTTAAACTCATGTTAACCKGTCGTGATTCTTCTGTCACCTGACTTCTGAGAAGCTCTTACTTTGGTTGGGAGAGACTTGTTTTGTTTGGATAATTAGTCACTATGGTGATTGAACAAAAAAAAACCCCAGTTGGACCAGTTTATCAAACTCTACCATGAGATGTTTGGCTCCATGAAGCTGTTTTGAGTRGAGCGTAAAAGCGTGACGGATAGAATGGGTCTACAGACTCAGAAGGACTGCGCCCCCGCAATACTCACTTCCCCTTTCCAAACCAGTTCCCGACACAAGCCACCACAGCTGGCCACCCAGTGGTCTGCATGAGTCCGTTCATGACCTGCAGGGTGAAGCAGAGAGGGAAATGCTGGGCTGCATTTACTGAAAACTAAACATATACTGAAGAGCGAGGGGGGAGGGGGCAGGATTCTCACATTAAAACCTACAAAAATAACTCCGGCATGAAGGTTCAGTCACATGACGCAGCTGTGAGTCATGTGACGAGTGAGTCGAGCCTCAGTGAAGACAAGATCTTACTGAATCAGAACGTTTAGTGAAATTAGCTGTTAGGAAGTGAAAAGCTTGTTGAAATAACAGTAAATATAATAAATACATTGTTTTTCCAGTTTTTATACATGAATATATAACATGAGTTACATAATTCTGGTTAAAAACGTTCATTAGAACAATGGTTTGGTTTCTTATCTGCAGTTCCTCCTTCGGGGAGTCATGTGTTTGTGTGAAACTCGTCTGACGCCTCAAAGCTACAAAATAACTTTTTAATAACGAGCTGACAGAAAACTGAACGTTTTTATATTCAGCACAATATCTGGACTTTTAACTGACTTTCTTTTCAAAGTCGATGGGAGAAAATAAATTGTTAGTGATCTTAGGTAAAAATGCTGAAATATGTTGCTGCTGTTTGTAAAAAATAAAAAGGTTTGTGAAAAGGGATTAAATAATTTTGTCGCTATCTGTTATTTAGGTGTTTTACCAAAAACTACATAAAATGTTTGTTGTTGCAAAGTGAAGACATGAGTTTGCAACTTTTATATCACTAAAAATATCTTCTGGTTTCACACAAAGCATAAAAGGTCATAAGTTGTTTTGTTTTGTTTTTTTTGCTGAAAGTTTAGGAGTTTAATGGTTGAAGTAGCTGCATTTTAAACATATCTCTCAGTTTATGCACCTCTGGTCTGGTTTAGTGGGTGCAAAGGTACAAACACAAAGCAGTGAAACTAAACATGCTCACAGTTCAGGCAACATTTCTGCAGAGCTGTCTGCTGTTTTGCTTTAGTCAGCATGAAACGACTCATCTGATTCCTGCTTCCTTTTTCTTTTTCCAAAACAGATAGATGATATTTGATGATTCAAAGTTTCCGAACTAAAGTACATTTAAAGGCACAATTTGTTTCTAAACATCAACAGAAAAAGCTGCAACTCTGTTGCAACAAGGAGGTGTCAATAAAGTTATAGATCATCATGAAATAATTAGATTCTTAAAAAATAAAACATTCATTTATTTCATTTCAAGGCCCAAGTTTGATGTTTGCAGTAGGGCTGTGTATTGGCAAGAATTTGGTGATACGATACATAACATGACTGAGGGGTCACGATACGATATATCACGATTTATTGCGATACTGTAAGCGAGGCGATATATAGTGATTTTTTTGTCCAAAAATTCTATTAAATAAAAACCTTTTACTGAAGAAAAAAAAAAAAACCAAAATTCATTGTCTCAGAAAATTCTAATATTACATAGACGTACATTTAGCTGTGTTCTGC